GATCTAAGGTTCATAGCGTTCTGTTGTACAAGATCCTCTTAAAGAGGCGAGTACAGAGCATACTGGCTTAAACATATATCACTGAGAACATAATACTATAATAGGATCAAGAGTTTTCGAAAGAGAGGAAAAGAGATTTAGCAATCCATGAGTAATAAGCACACAAGAAGTTTTATTGCAAACTCGACTTGGTTACAAACTGAAAGAGAACCTCCTTATATAGACTCTGAGAGGATCTCATGAGGATAACAAACAGCAAGCATTTTTCACATGAGCCAATCTTGATTGGCTCCCTAAAAGCTAAATACAGTAAAGAACCCCCGTGGGGTGTGACTCACACAACTAGACAAACTATTATGAATCAGATGATAAGAACTTTGTTCCTAATTTATTCCATAAAGTTCTCCAAAAATGACTTAGGAACTTCACATCTCTATCACTTACTATTGTTCTTAGCAAACCATGCAAACACACAACTTCTTTAAAGAAAAAATCAGCAATATGTGTTGTGATCAACTATAAGCCCAATCCATCTCGTGATTGTTGTATTGCAGCAAAAAGTGTGTTTCAAAAAGCCATGAGCGATAAAACCGGTCAAGGTATAAGAGATCTTTGTGACTGTCTACGTGTTATCGGACCATCTCTAGGGTTTCATCAAGATAAAGAAGCAAGACTTCCTGGTGCCTGTGGAATAAAAACTTCTTTTTCGATGGAGTTATGTGTACGTAGGTCTCTAACACCAAACCAAAACAAAAATTAATTTATGTATAATTGTTTACTTTGGTCATTGAACACGTGATAGCATAAATACGTTGATAATAAGTAATCCAACCGGGGTTAATTAGATGGAATCAAGTGACAACAGAAGGTTTATTTTCATGTTAAACGATAGGGTTATGTATGCTTTTAACCCATGTCAAATTGGTGTAACAAAACCCATGTCAAATTAATAAATTATGCTTTAATAGTAGCTCACTGTCAATTCAATTACACTACACAACTGTCAACCATCAAAGAAAATAAAGAAAAATGAAAGAATAAAATGAAAAGAAAAACAAAGGAGAAAAGTATAGTTAACATAAATACCTTCTCAACTAAAGCGAATTCACAGAATAAAACACACAATTCTACAAAAAAAAGTCATGGAAAAAAACTAATTTAAAATAACATCTGACAACAAACACACAAAACTACAAATAAAATCTATGGTGAAAAGATGTTTGAAAGTATGGTTACATAATATTTTTACAAAGTTTGAAAATTTAGAATAAAGCAATGAAAAATTTAGCATAAAGGTAATGGAAAATTTTAGGAGTTTGGTAGAATGCAAAATCAGGGAATGAAAGGAAAAACTTATAACTAACCTTGAGATCTCATTTGCTGTTGCCATGAAATTTAAGACAAAACACGTATTTTATTAACTAATAATTCATATACATTCGATTTTCAAAGAGTTTGCAGAGTGAATAAAAATGTAAACCAAATACTCAAACAAAATTTGTTAGATCAAATTACAGGAATGGATGAAACTTTGGTATTTGAATAATTGCATCCATATAAATTTCATCACGCACACCATCTGCACGAAGCCAACAAAATGAGAAGGTAATGAATAGAATATGCGGTTACAAAAGATAGGAGGTTGAATAGAATATGCGGTTACAAAAGATAGGAGGTTGAATAGAACATGCTGTTACAAATTTATGAAATGTGGGAGAAGTGAGTTAATACTAAAATTTTTAATTTTCCATTTATGCCCCAAGTAACCACACAAATTAAGTACCAGAATAAGAAATTGTTAAAGGGTAAAATAGTATTAAAAATTATGGAGACGAAACTGAAGTATTCCTTTTATATAATGTTATAGATATACATTTAACTTATTTTGGTTTTAAATCTTTAACTGCAAGTCTATAAATGCTAGTTTTCAACAAATTGAAGATAAAAATTGATAATATAAATAGATAACGGAGTTGCGTAGATATTCAAGACAAGATGCCATGAGTTTCTCTAACCAACATTTCATGCAAGGAACAAAGAGGCACACAAAGCATTTTATTTTTAAACAAGAATCCATCATGCCTATAAAAGTCCCCTAAATCATGTTTAGAACAAGAATCCCATATCTTCCCAAAATCAGACACAAATATCCCTCAATTGTTGGTGCAAATTGATAACATTAATAGACTTCCAATGCCGTGTGAGATTAATTTGGTACAGCGAGGGTCTTTCGAATGTAGATATTCAAAAGGTAACAGAATGAAAAGTAGTTAACTATTTTTTTCTTAAAATATGTTTTTAATCATTATAGTTTAACTTCATTTTTATTTTAGATCTTGTAGTTTATAATAGAAAGTTTAAGTCCTTAAGTATATCTTTTTCAATCCTTTTTACCCCTTATAGTTTAAGCTAAGTCTTTTATATTAAAACAAGTACTTTTCTAGTTAATTAAGACATTCCTTATACTGTCGTGGGCTATTAAGTGCTTCATATAACTCATACTTGATATGGATTTACATTTTACAATCTCATGCTATGCGAGATTGTCTAATTATTTTAAAATTTATTTTTACGGGGAGAGTCTAAAGAAATACGAATGCATCAAATAACCAGGAATGAGAATTTTGTTTGTCATATAATCACAATTAGTTGTGTAGTGTAATTGAATTGACAGTGAGCTACTATTAAAGCATAATTTATTAATTTGACATGGGTTTTGTTACACCAATTTGACATGGGTTAAAAGCATACATAACCCTATCGTGCTTTTAGGGAGCCAATCAGGATTGGCCCATGTGTAAAATGATTGTTGTTTGTAAGCCTCATGAGATTCCCTCTGAGTCTATATAAGGAGGCTCTCTTTCAGTTTGTAATCAAGTCGAGTTTGCAATAAAAACTTCTTGTGTGTGTGTGCTTATTACTCATGGATTGCTAAATCTCTTTTCCTCTCTTTCGAAAACTCTTGATCCTATTATAGTATTATGTTCTCAGTGATATATGTTTAAGCCAGTATGCTCTGTACTCGCCTCTTTAAGAGGATCTTGTACAACAGAACGCTATGAACCTTATATCAGAGAATGAATCATCATCAAACATAATGTTTTGAGCACACAATTACTCAACAGGAAAAGTTGGTAATGGCCAATTAGGGGTGCTAGGGGTGTTCAAAAGAGTTGAACTAAGCTAAACTAAAAGAGTAGTTCGTTTAAACTGAACTGAGCTATTTTATATTTAAGTGAACTATAATTCTAAAATTTGAACTGCACTATAATTTGTACTAAACTAACTTTTATTTTGTTATTATTATTATAAACTGAATTCAACTGCATTCCAAAAAATGTCTTCTAAATTTTAAATTAGTAATTTTCTTACTGTCAAACTTATACTAAATATAAATAAATTAATTTATAATTATTCATGATTATTACGCTAGTTTTTAGTAATTTGATTTTTTGAGAGTTCATTAACTAGTTCGATGTTATAAAACAATGACTATGAAAAAAAAACAAAGTCTGTTAATAAAGACTAATTTTCAATCAGTTTACTAATCTTATTAATTATTAAATAAAAATTTAAAATATTTAAATATTACATGTAACTATTTTTTAGTTAATGCGTTCTTTACAAAATAGTATGACTTTTAGAAAAATATAATTATTGAAGGTATAATTTTTTTATCCTAATAATAAATGTAAATTAAAATTTTCTTTTAATCCCGTACATTGAATCACCATAGAAAAATTTTGTAACAAAAACAAAAATGTATAGTTGTGCACAGTAACACTAGGCCACTAGCATACCAACTTAACAGTGGGCAGTCGGCGAAATCAGAAAGCTATAAATAAAGGAATGCATTTAGAAAGCACTAGTACTGAGTTTCTGAATTGAGCATACTTTTGTATAAAAACTTCCATGCTAGTAGTTTCTTAAGAAGTTCCTTGCATAGAAAAAGCAGATGCATTGATTAACTTCTCTGAGTCATTGGATTTTCATTCCCTAATTATGTCTGTTTCTTATATATATATATATATATATATATATATATATATATTATTTTGTTAGACTTATAACACATCATTTAAGAAGCACCAAGCGACTGAGTCATGAGGGAACCACACACATTGGCACCGTCCAATGATGCACCTCAGATGGCTAGGAGAACATCCAAAGGGCACCGAGCCCCACATATGACTTGGGTATCAAGAGATAGGCACCAAGAGACTTGGGAATCGTCAAAAGGAACCAACAACAAACTTATGGGAACCCTCATATGACTTAGGAGGAAACATCACATAGGCACCATAACCAACCATCAAGAATCCCACACAAGGCTTTGATCATTTATATATAATATATAAATTCAGTTTTATTAACAGTTTAGTCTATCAAAGTACTCTTTAGAAAATAGTTTGATTTATAAAACTGAATATAAAAATTAGTTTAGTTCTAGTTAGTTATTTTGAAGACTCCCTATTATAACAAAAAAAAAAATTATAACTAAAGTGCACTGAACTACTTTTTATAATAGTTTAGTTTTTAAAAACTAAACTTAAAATATAGTTTAGTTTTTATAAAAATTAGTTTAGTTTTTTATAGTCTACTTTAGTTTAGTTTTCAAAATAGTTTTTTGAACACCCCTAAGGCCAATGAAATGATTTGGTATTAGACACAAAGCATCTACTTTTATTCTAGTAATCAACCAATGGTATATCCAGATCATAAAGTTAAAAAATAAAACGAAGAATATTTGTGAACAAGCTACTCACCACTCCTCTACTGATCAAATACTCCACAATATCAATATGTCCATTAGCTGCAGCCATATGAAGAGCTGGATGCATACATGAGAGTGGTAAGGTAGAGCAATATGAATAAGTACAATAGTTCACAGCTAAATTAGTTTTCTGTATTTGGTCATCTGACAAAATTATCTTCTTCAAAAACTTTATCATCCCTGGTCGTGGTTCTCAATGCCCTTTCTTCTAAATGAAGGTCAATTTATTCAAAGTTCAAACAACATGACAATGTGAAGTGGACTCTTTCTATACAAAGCCTCTATATCTCATGATCTCATCAATGACAAGCTTTAAAACCAAACTCTATAACCAAAATATACCTTAACATCTTTTCAACATATCAATTTACCACTCATCATATAATCTGCTCTAGTTTTGTTTATAATGAATTTAACTAAAAGTATCTCCTGCTAGCAAGGAATCCAAAGTTATACCCATAATCCACCTTACTAGAGGAGACTAGGAGAGTGGTAATTCTACAACTACTTCACAAGTTTAGAAGCAAAGTGTAGTATGTTAATGAAGGAGAGTGGTATTTCACACCAACATATATTAACCCTAATGATTAGATGAAGAGAATACATAAGGAAGACTCAAAAGCATGTCTGGTTCCATGAATTTCTAGCAAAGAAAGTAAAGTGGATCCTTCCGGAAGTCAAAGTTAGTAGCAATAGGACTTGAAGGCACCAAGAAGAATTCTGTTATAACAGAATGTGGGATATTTGATCAAAGAGCTCACTCAAAACCCAGGAACATCAAATTCTTTCATTTTCATTGCTGAGATTTGGTGAGCTTGGTAATGTTTGAAATTACCCAGGAGCTTCAGAAACAGAAATATTTGGCATGAATTTGATACTCTAGCCATGATCCTTGATTCCTTGTTCAGAAAGGAAATGAAGAGCAAGTAGCTTGGCAGCTATACGATATAATCGGATATATTATCAAGAACTTGAAGTGTATGCTTAATCAAAATTGGAGGTTAAAGTCACCCATACTTTTAATCAATGGAAACAAGTTTCAAAATATAGCCAAGAGGTTTTAGAAACCAGTCCACAACTGCAATTGCGGCCGCAATTATGACAAGGTTTTTGGAATCTCACAACCTCATCAGCTGCAATTTTCTGCAATATCAAGGATCACAACAAAGCCACAACAGCAATTCAAAAACTTGTGGCAGGAGCATGACTCTGGGATGAGGATTATGGAAACCCCTAAATCTGAGTTGAGCAGCTTAATTCTTTGGGATGCTCTGTCAATGCCTAACATCCCAGTTTTACACAACCACGTGACTACTCAATTTTCATACTTTCATTCAAATTGAACTACCTAAATGAAAAACCCTTAATACACACCAAACTAAACATGCATGCTAACAAGCTTTACCCTCACCGTAAACAACAACACTACCAAACCCCACAAAATAACACGTAAAAAAGAGAAGAAAAAAATGAACTTTTTTTTTCACTTAAATCAGTTCCACACATGATGCACATATACCTGTTCTCCAATACCAAATAAAAATAAAAATAAAAATAAAAAAATAAAAAAAAAAACATATACCTGTTCTCCCCTGATCATCCTTGGAATCAAGAGAAACCCCTCTAGCTTCTAAGCTCTTAACATCATCCATGTCATCATATCTTGCAGCCTATCAAAACAATATCAACACTCAATTTAATCATCACACTCAAATATCAATGATCAATATATATATATATGCAATACGAATAATTTTACATCAAGCAAGGCTTCGACGTTCTCCGAGGTTGTTTCGGAAGGAGCTTGAACTGCTATGTCCGCAGCCATTTGCAGTGGCAAATCTCACTTCACTGTTTAGGTCAGAAAAATCAAAAGAGTAAAACTGAGAAAATTAGAGATTGTCAATTTGAATAAATGTGAACCTTTGATTAAAATGAATGATATAGATTTTGGCACGTGGTTTGGTAGGATTTATTAGACTATATTATAGAAGAATTAAGAATTATTCTACTATTTACCTTTACCCGCAAAGAATGTAAATCAGAATTTGAAAAAATAAAGTATTATGAATTTATTAAAATATTTGTTTTATTAAAATATAAATTTTATTTAATATTTAACAATTATTTTTTTGTTACAGATTAAAATTTAATAATGACGTTGATTTCTCTACGATGTCATTTTTTATTATTGTTAATTATTATGTATTAAACATCAATGATTATTTTATATGAATAATTTTTAGATTTTTCTTTAATAAGAGAGTTTTTAAAAATTATTTTCATTATATATTTAATTTAATTTTTATTTGTTATAATTATTTGTAAATTAAATTTTAATATTTTAAATAAAATATTAATAAATAAAAAATCTTGTATGACAATAAAAATTATTTATCATAAATTTAAAATATAATTTATATTGTAACAAATATATATATATATATATATATAATTTATATGTTTAAAGTAAATTTATTGAAGAATTTAAATATAATTTATATATTCATATATAGTATTTATTTGTATATAATCTATTATATCTATTATTTACTATATATTATATATTATAAATGAAAGTTATGTCACATAAGCAAATATCACATGATAGTATTAAGTTCGTTTTTCTTTATTTGAATATTCAATGATTTTGTATTCTAATTTTTAATTTATAAAATATAAAAATTAACTACTAAATTCAAAATTAAACTATTTATAATAATATATGAAAGAAATAAAGAATTTTGGTTTTCATTTTTCAATAGTCAATTTTATCCCTTAATATCATAATTATCTCTTATGATTACTTTGTTATTTAATTTAAAAAATAATCTTAACTTAAATGTTAGTTTTCATTTGTTGAATTTTATTATCGTAAATCAACTATGATATTTTTTCTATAAGATAAATTGTTACTTTTCCATCTTAATCTTCTATCTTTTTTTATTTTTAGTTATTTATCATTTATCTTTTATTTTAATTTTAAATTTTATTTTTTATATATAACATATATAAAAGCAATAACTTGATTCAGTGTATATATTTTTTTTTTAGACATTTTTATCCTTAAATTTTAAATAATAAAATCTATGACATATATAAAGATGATAGTTTAATATAGTGTACATATTTTAAAAAATATTTATTCTTAAATTTTAAATAATAAAAACTAATATTAAAAATTAATTAATATTAATAGTTTTTAACGATTTTAATTAAATAAAATATAAAAATACGAACTGTCTTAACTTTATTAATTTAAATAAAATATATAAAGATATAAAGTATTTTGACCCACTAATAATAAATAAAAAAATAAAGTACACTAATCTAAAATTGAATTCAACTAAATTTATCTATTATCTATTATAAAAAAATTATTAAAAAAAGTTATGCCACGTGACAGCATCATGCATTATTTTCCTGCTTAAATTTTCAACTATTTTGATTCTATTTTTTAGTTTTTTTTTTTGTTCGTCTCTAGAATATTTAGGGCTGATAGTGATGACTAATCTCCTCGGGAGGCACCTCAAAGGGTGGGATAACTGGCTCCAAGATTTAACGTAGCTGACCTTGCTTAAGCGTGGATCAACCCCTACCGCTGAACCACACGCTTAGAGTTATTCTATTTTTTAGTTTATAAAATATATTAATATATTTAATTATAATAATTATACAATATTATAAAAAATTATCTCTACAAATTCTAATTCTAATTTAATCAATCAATTAAATTATATTTTCTATTAATATATTTAATTATTCTAATTATATGATATTATACTACAATTATATATTTGAATTCTATTTTTAATTCAATTAATCAATTACATCAATTAACCTAATATATATTCTAATACATTAATATATTTAATAATAATAATCATATAATATTATACAATAATTATATATTATAATTTTAATTCAATCAATTAAATTATATACTTCAATCAAAACAAACACCATTACACCAAACAAACCGTAGGCAACTATCTCTGAATGATTAACAAATTAAGTCTCTAATAATGTTAGGATACAATAAATCAAATATTTTATCTCTACATAATTAACAAGGAAACAATCCTTATTAATTAGGCGATTAATCTATAGAGAATATTTTGACTCGCGCAGTTATATAAAGACCATCAAGTATCTTTCTAATTCATTCGATACTTTATGACCTATATGCTGGACTGACTCCAAAATTGTGGCCGAACAGGTCAACGACAATTTCCAGGTCAAAGATTCACACTTGTTGCGGTACTATCACCTGTTCCAGAGACTCAAGGATAACTTCAATGAAGTCCAGATACGGCATATCCTGGGCAACAACAACGAACGAGCCAACCAACTAGCTCGGCTCGCTAGCAGCCAAAAACCAGGGCAGTTGCGGTCCACTATTCATCTTGAGATTCGCTCCCCGAGTGTGACAGCCGAATGCATGGCAATAAATGAAGACGCACCCTCATGGATAACCCCCATTCGGAAATATATCGTTAACGGTGAACTTCCGGCCGACCCAATGGAAGCAAAGAAATTACAAACGCAAGCGGCTCGGTATTCTGTGGTGGTCGACGAGCTCTACCGGCGAGGATTCTCCACCCCGCTGCTCAAATGCATTGACAATCACCAAGCCGATTATGTCTTGCAAGAAATTCATGAAGGTATCTGGGGCTCTCACTCGGGCGGGTGAACCATGGCAGCCAAAGTCTTGCGGGCCGGTTATTATTGGCCAACTCTGAAGGAAGACTGCTCCGAGTTCGTTAAAAAATGTGTGCAATGTCAAAAACACGGGAATCTCATCCACGCCTCGGCCGCCGAGTTACACAGTATCAGCTCCCCATGGTCGTTCGCCTTGTGGGGTATCGACGTACTTGGACCATTCCCTGTGGCAAAGGGGCAGGTCAAGTTTCTCCTTGCTACGGTGGATTACTTTACGAAGTGGATAGAGGCCGAACCGCTCGCTTGCATCTTTGCCGCCAACGTCCAGAAGTTTGTTTGGAAGAACATAGTTACTCGTTTCGGCATCCCGTACGCCATTATCTCGGATAACAGCCTTCAGTTCACGGACAAAAAGTTCATCCGCGAAAACCTCGGCATTCGGCACCGGTTCACATCAGTTGAGCATCCTTAGTCCAACGGGTAGGCCGAGGCGGCTAACAAGGTCATACTAATAGAACTGAAGAAGAGGCTAGGCTCGGCAAAAGGAGCATGGGCCGAGGAGTTACCGGAAGTCCTTTGGGCGTACCGATGCACACCACAGTTAACCACCAGGGATACGCCTTTTCGCCTAACATATGGCGCGGATGCGATGATCCCGGTTGAAGTAGGGGAACCATCATTCTGGCGGCAGCACTTCCACGAAGAGTCTAACGATAATTCACTCCGCGCCGAGCTCGATGTTCTAGACGAAGTGCGAGAGAAGACACAGGTTGTGGCCGAAGCGTGCAAGCAACGGATGAGTCGACGCTTTAATTCCAACTTAAAGCCAAGGACGTTTCATGAAGGCAATCTCGTATGGAGAGAAACCGGGTCGGCAAGACGCAACTCTTCTGAAGGAAAGCTCTCAGCCAACTGGGATGGCCCGTTCTGGGTACGGCATAAACTTCACAATGGAGCATACAAGTTGGAGGAACTGTCCGACAAGGTCATTCCGAGAACTTGGAACTCTACCCATCTGAAGACATACTATAGTTAAATTCAATTTTGTAATGCCTGAACAATGTATATGTATCACGATGCACTCTTTTCCTTGACTGATCTTTTTCCCCCTTATAAAAACGTGAAAAGGGGTTTTTGGTCGGCAAGGTTTTTAACGAGACATCAATTCATCAATGAATACCCATTCCACATACTTGAGTGTCAATTTTTCAATTTTTACAAGTCTTCCCTCCCGAGATCTCTCTCGGCCAAGGATGTGGCTTACGTTAAATTTTTACAAGTCTTCCCTCCCGAGATCTCTCTCGGCCAAGGATGTGGCTTACGTTAAATTTTACAAGTCTTCCCTCCCGAGATCTCTCTCGGCCAAGGATGTGGCTTACGTTAAATTTTACAAGTCTTCCCTCCCGAGATCTCTCTCGGCCAAGGATGTGGCTTACGTTAAATTTTATAAGTCTTCCCTCCCGAGATCTCTCTCGGCCAAGGATGTGGCTTACGTTAAATTTTTACAAGTCTTCCCTCCCGAGATCTCTCTCGGCCAAGGATGTGGCTTACGTTAAATTTTACGTCTTCCCTCCCGATATCTCTCTCGGCCAAGGATGTGGCTTACATTAATTTTTACGTCTTCCCTCCCGAGATCTCTCTCGGCCAAGGATGCGGCTTACATTAATTTTTTCAATTCTTCCCTCCCGAGATCTCTCTCGGCCAAGGATGCGGCTTACATTAATTTTTACGAGTTTTCCATCTCGAAAAAAGCAATATATAATGTTACATCAATATACGGCAGCAAGGGAAATTCAAATTCATTAACAGGGCACTATCGGCCCAAAAAAGTACATTAAAAGGGCACTATCGGCCCATCATTACAAAGAGCTTAACAAGACCAGCTTAAGACGCCACCTCCGGTTCCCCCTGAACCAGACCATCCTCAGGCGCACCTTCCTCATAAGCCGTCTCCTCTTCATTCGGCCCAGCCGGCCACGCCGGAGCTTCCTCGTCGGGTCGCTCGTTTGCGGGGATTGAGGTCAGATCCACCAGCCTACCCCGGAAGAAATCCTTGGTCATATCAAGACGAAAATCGAAGGTGATAGAAAGAGTAGGAGAAGTGATGAACTAGCTCCTCCTAAGCTCCTCCTAGGCACGGATCCTCTTCAATGGAGATGGAACTAAGTTGTTGAACTCCTTGGACGAAGTTCTCCAGCTGAAGACAAGGTCAAGACCTTGAAGGAAGTATCCAAGCTCAAGCCTCAAGGGATTGC